AAGCAGGTGTGACCTCTGGTACCTTTGCTTATTTATAGTCAAACTGGATCATCTCAAAGTAGGGGCAGATAGAGAAAAATGTGGAGAAAGGAAAGAAGGAAGGGAAGAGGAAGGCAAAAGAAGACAAGAAAAAAACAGAAGAAGAAAAGAGAAAACTTCTTTTTCTCTAGCCCCTTAGGCATTGCCTGCAGCAGGGGTGTGGCCGGTCTTGCCAGTGCCTCTTGAGCGCTTTTGCAGATTCTGGGTATACATTTCCCTTAAGACTGGTTGTCTGCAGAACAGGGAAACAAACCAGAACCCCTCATAAATCAGTAGAGGTCACTGCCAAGAGCTTTGTACACTTGCTGTCCCTGGCAGTGATCGACTCATTGCATTTGGGAAATGGCCAAAGACCCTGAGTCTGATCTTAATTCTCATTCCCAGAAAAATCTCAGCTCTCTGCTCACCCACCCCCTTGTTTACTGTCTTTGTGTTTCCTAGACAAAGCTGGCGAGGAGGAAGGAACACAGTTCCATAACTGGGGACATCAAAGGCGGCGATTCTTTGCTTGGGGGAGGAGGGGCTGGACAGAGGAGAGTCCGGAATCCCTAGGCTGTGGGAAAGGGAGGCTGGAGTCCCAGGCCCTGCAGGGGGCACGGGAGATCTGCTGAGCTTCTCGGGTTCTGCTTCTGTCAGACCTGAGCCTCGCTCGGATCTGCTCTGATGGCTTTGGTTTTGTYCCTTTGAGGGTGAAGGGGGACTCATGGTTTTGAGGGGCTGGCAATGGGGTTGGTGGGATGAGACTAACTCATGGTACCCACCCTCCAAAAGATGGGGCTCTTACTTCCTGCTTTCTCCACACACCATCCTTGCCTTGGTAGCTGGCTTCGGAGTCAGCCACATGACCTAGAGAAGGTGACAGTGGTACTCAAACTGCTCCTTGGACTCCACCAACCCACCCTGGAGTGGGGACCCCACTCCCCACTGCTCCTCCCTCCTTATGTCCTTATGTTATCCTTCCTGCTCTGATTGCTCAAACTGCGAAGCTGCACCACCAGACCTTTCTCTCCCAGTTCCCAGAGAATGGGGAGACACATTGCTCTGCTGTGCTCACCTCTTCCTACCTGGAAGAGGAGTTTTCTGGTTGATCCACCGCCATTCCCTGCCTCTGACAATGTTGAYGGTCCCTAGTTACATCCATTCCTGCACCTGTACTTGATCTTCTTTGCAGCCATTAGGTCCAATTGGCTGTGTGCACCACTGTGCCAAGTCTGCTTGGCCTGTAGAATGTGGCGATGTGACAACAGTCCTGTTTGTCTTGTTCAGACTGTAATCTCAGTGCCTGGCACCTAGTAGATGCTCACTAAATATTTGCTGAACGTTGCTGTGTTTCAATGTTCAGGCATTTGCTTTATCCTGCTCTATTTCAATGAACAAGGTCTTTCTTTTAGGGGACCCAGCTCTTCCTGCCCACAGTGAGGCTATAGGAATTAGTTGTATCAGGAGAGAAATATGTTTCCAAGGCAAGAAGGGTCGGGCTAGGAGAGGTTTCCTTACTCCCCTTACTCAGAGGGGTATTGTGAGACGTATTGGGGATTGAGATCCCTCTGAAAGGACAGAACGAGGAGCAAGCACCCATTGTTCTGAAGAGGAGTTTGGAGAGGGTCCAAATGTTAGGACAGGCCTTTCCAGATGACTCAGGAGCCACCTGGCTCTGTCAGCCAGACAGAAGCGAAGCCTGACACAAGAAGGAGRCCATGAGTCATTTTCACTCTGGGTTAACATTTGTACCTAAGATTTAAAAGTTAGAACAATTTTAAAAAAACAACAAATGAAAGCAAAGACCAATGACGTCCCTCAGTCAGGACTTTGAGCCTGTCAGGGACAGGGGGAGCCAAGATGCTCATGCTCCTTCGAGCAGAGTACACCCTGCACCTCCTTCCATCCAGAGAGCAGGAATGTGACCCAATCATAAGCCACAGCAAGCACAATCAGCATTTCAGTGAACCAAGAAATGTCTRTTCCTGCATTTTCTGTGACCACAACAAAATAACGGAGGCCGGGTGCTTGATAAAAAAGATTTACCTCGTTCACAGTTTGGGAGGTTAGAGTCCAAGATCGAGAGCTCTGTCTCTTGTGCCTCSAGTGAGGGGTCCCCAGCTGCATGCGGTAGATGGCATCAGGGCGGTAGTGTGTGTGGAGAGGGAGAGATCCCATTATGAGACAGGCAGCAAGAGAGATGAGGGGCCAGGCTGGCTCTTTTTATAACAACGCTCTCTCATGGGAATTATTAACTGGCATCCTGCAAGAACTGTGTTAATCCTTTCTGAGGGTGATTCCGTCTTCCCCCAAGGATCTAACTATCTCCCAYTAGGACTCACCTTTTAAAGGTTTCACTTCCTCTGAACATACCACGCTGGCGATGATGGGGAAACACAGCCAAACTACATCCAAAGCATAGCTCCGKGTAAACTCAATGAATGTTTGAAACTATGCTGGACACGACACCCCTATGAGAGATAAAAACATACTGTCCCCACCCTCAAGGCACTTAAACTAGAAGAGACTGGATTGTTGTATGAATTGTTTCGGAAAAATGTACCTTGCAGTATGTTCACACTTACCAAAGCAGAACTTCTCAGGACCGTCAAAGTGGTCTCCGAACCAAGCCAGTGTGTAATTCCACTTGATTCCTTGTAGTGAGTCTGTTCTCATGGGTGGGGTCACCACCCTGCTTTTGAAAATATGAGAGCATCTTCAGAACAATGAAGCTGGTCCCAGATGGGACTCTTTGGGATCCAATTAAAGATGGGGTGCCTAGGGCCCCACATGGGACCAAGACATTGCTTGCTTTCTGCTTTCACTTTGAGTTTAATTTTTAAGTAGCAAAAAAAAAAAAATACAATATATCTATGGTGTGGACAGGGCATGTGTGTACACACATGTGTGTACAGGTAGATCAAGCTATTTAATATATGTATTGCCTCAAATGCTTTCTTTTGCTAAGAATGCTTAAAAATCAATATACAGTATGTTGTTAAGAACTATAGTTATCGTGATGTGCATTAGATGCCTTGAACCTATTCCTCCTGTCAAGCAGAAATGCTGTATCCTTTGACCAAATTTCCCCCAATCTTCATGACCCCCATCAGCCTTGGCCACCACCATTCTACTCTCTGCTTTGTGACTTTGATTGCTTTGGATTCACAGATAAGTGCGCTCTTGCCACATTTGTCTTCCTGTGCCTGGCTTCCTTCACTAATGTATTGCGCTCTAGTTCATTCATGTTATGGTGCATGACGAGATTCCCTTCTCTTTTAAGACTGAATAGTAGTATTCTGTTAAATGTTTATAACAGAATATAAATACACATCTGTACAGATGCCAYAGTTCCTTTCTCCACTCAGCCCCTGATAGATCAGCCCAAGTCCACTCCATATCTTGGCTAATATCCTTTCACTTTCTTTTGAGCGGGGAAGAGAGACCTTGACCATGGTTCCAGCTTCCTCCAGCCAAACCTTTGAGAACACTGGTGGAAGGTCTTAGCCTTTTCCTTCTATACCCTGCTCTGGGAAGAAGAGCCAAGGAAGAGGTCCCTCGTCACCAGTCCTGCCTCTCAGATGGGCACTCACTCCTCACTCACCAGTTCTGCATTCCTCCTGAGCACCGGGGCCTTTGCCCAACTTCACAGCCTGAACATCGAGCACCCTGGGAGAGATGCTTCTTCTACTAGGCCTACTRCTAACGATGGCACCCTCCCCAGAGAAGGCCCACCCTTCCTCCTGACAGGTCCTCTCGTGGGACAATCCAGTTTTTCTGTGCAGCTGAACTAAATTCCTCTTCAATGGATAAATAATCCTTTTTTTTTTTTTCCTACCAACAAGTTCTCTATTTTCAAGGGCCAGGATTTTCCTGTCCTTTATGAGGCTAAATCTGCCAGCAAGAACCAGGCACCTATAGGATTTAGTTGGAGGACAGGTCAAATTTACTGCCAAGGCCAGAATGTAGATGTCTCTAGGAGCCCAGGAGAAGTACCATACCACCCCACCTGCTCCTCCTGGATACCACYCTCAGGCCTGGAATATGAGCCCACATGACCCAAGTTCTGGTTGCCAAGAGCTCCCTTCCAGGGCAAGAGAGTGGCCATAATAGGTACAAACTTACCCAATTGCATCATTGCCTGGGGGAGGCATTTATTTTAATTAAACTTTTAATTTAGAGACACACATTTTTATTTATCTATTTTATTTATTTTTATTTAGAGACACACATGCACTTGTGAGAAACAATGTAGAGATGTACCATTTCTCCAGTTCCCCCATGATGACTTCTTGCATAGCCATGACATTGACCTGGCCGCAATTCTCTGAYATTATTTAGATTCCCCAGTTTTACTTGTACTTATAGATCCAGGTGTATATTTAATTTTGCACATCATTATCCCATGTATAAGATGTGAGATCCACCCATCAACAACAAAGATCCCTCCTGTCGCCTTATATGACCGCTCTTTCTTCCCTTCCCCTCTTACAACCATTAGTCTAGTCTCAATTTCTACAATTTGTCATTTTAAGACAAATTCAATTTGGGGTCATATAGTATATAACCTGGGGATTGGCTTTTTCACTCATCATAACTCCTTTTGCAGTTCTTTCAAGTCTGTTGGGTGTATCTGTAGTTTATTTCCTCTTCTTGCTGTGCCTGTGGTTTTAATCATTACACACCACAACATGACACCCAGACTCCATTACAAATCCTTTGGRACATGATCCTTAAGGATCTCTTGCTCTAAGAGAAAAATATAACTCACGTATTTATTTGTTACTTATATTTACTTATTTTGGGTGCTTTTAAATAGGTGTGTAGAAAGGGAGGAAATGTTACAAAGTTTCCTTAGGTTTGTCAAACATACCTAGGTTCCTTGGTTTCTTGCCCCAAACAAGTGATCAGTTGGGTTATAATTTGCTTCAGTGTTGATTGACAGTTCTTTCTTGTGTCTCCCTGCCTCCCTCCTCCCCCAGGAGCATATCTACAAGCTGATGAAAAGTGACAGTTATGCCCGCTTCCTCCGGTCCAATGCTTACCAGGACATGCTGCTGGCCAGGAAGAAGGTATCTCTGGGAAGGACAGGCTTGCCCTGCCTGAGCACTATCRACTCTTGCCTGCTGCTTGCTGCTGGTGTGAAATGAGAATATCATCCCTTGGGTTTTTATTTATTTTTCTTTCCTTCCTTCTCTTCTCTATCTGCTCTCCTTCAATGGAAAACAGTTAGGATTGTCACCACCCCAGCCCTTGTCCAAGCTCCAGGATGGAGCATCCCCCCTCCCTGTCCCCATCCTCTCTCTCTCTCTGCATGGTTTGCCCACAAGGAGGGAAGTCTGCCCAAATACCAATGCCACAGGAGCTCAGCACGGAATGCCTGGGTGACAGTGACCCCAAAAAATCCCTTACAACATCAAAGAGAGCCCTTTACTGCAAAGTCCAGCTCCCTCCCCACAGACTGTCCCTCCCTGACCGGCCTAGAGGTGAGTGTGAGGCAGGGATTGGGGCAGCCCCCACCATGAACAGAAAACCTGCCTGGTCAGTTTAGGGGAGGCCACCCGGCATCTGACGTCATCCTGGGTATTGGTGCCTCCTCTACACACCCTTCTTTGCCCTCACACTGCCTCACAGTGTTTCCCTGTTCTTTCAACCAAGAAGTAACTGCATCCCAGCCCCTTCCTCCTGTTCCACCTAGGTGACGTCATGGCGCCCTGTGGCCCCTGGAGGCCTGGATCTGGGGGCCAACCCAGGCACCCTCAGCATGCAGGGGGTCAGGACGACAGCAGGGATGAACTCAGTTGGGTTTCTGGGAAGAGGAAAGGAAGAGCAAGGAGGGGAACAGGGTTGGGAAAGGGGAGGCAAGAGACAGGGCTCATGATTCTAGAATGCCTGCCCACCATCCGGGCTTTCCAGCTCTGAGCTAAGGCCCATGTGTGGTTAAGTGTGGCTCGACTCGCACCAAGTCCCAAATTTCCATGCCATGTCACGTAGGAGCACATGCATCTCTGTCTTGCCCCCTCCCATCCTCCCAACCCCAGTCCCCACATGTGTGGCTGTCCATCCACAGACTCTGTCAGGCTGCCTTCAGTCACACACCTCCTCTCTGTGTTCCATCAACCTCATGTGCCAAGATCCTCTCTGTGTATCTGGTTGGTACCACATAACTCCAGAGTCTAGGGGGAGCATTTATATCCAGCTCTCCTGACCCTCCGTAATTCTCCGAAGAGCCCTGATAGCCTGAGAAAGAGAACAGGACTTCCAGAATGTCCAGAATGTCAGAAACCCAGCTTGACTGGCTCCCACTCCCCCCCCCCCAGATGTCACTAAATGCAAAACCTGGCCTTTTGCTTCCTCCCTTGCTGAAGGACATCAGTGAAGGGGCTCTGCTGGAGGGGGCTGACACCACACACATGGCTCTCATGACCATTTGTTTAAGAACTGAAAGAGAACAGTGATGGAGACTTTTGGTATCTCAAGTCCAGATCTCCTGGGAGAAGGTCAAAGTAAGTTTTTCTTATTTGTTGAGACCCAAGTCACCTAAACGGATCACAATCTGGGGACATTCTAAAACTCTCTAGCAGTTTGACCCGTGGGGTCTGTCTGTACATCTAGGGGAGAAGTCAGAGGCAATCCCATCTCCCTGCAGGTGCAATCACAAAGGGAGAATGTGCCTAAAACAGGAAGTGAGCCACCTGCCTGAGCTTGCAGATCCTCCCTACCGGTGGAAAACTCCGGGAAGTCACCAGCAGTAGGGAAGAGACAACAGCCTTCCCAAGAAATGGGACACTAGAAGTTCATTACTATAGCCCTCCCAGCCCTTGAATTAGGGATATTCTTGGGGCAGAAAGCCCATATAGATGCCAATGCCCTTCCAAACATTGAGGAGGAGTTTCCTGAAACAGTGACAAAACCTGCCTTTCCTTCCCTTTCTTCCTGAGAGCCCCCAGACATGGATCTGATTTGTAACTCGGCACCTTCAAGTAGGCCTAGAGGACCTTCTGGTTTCAAAGGTGGGCTCACGGTGTGATATTAACCTTCAGGTCATACTAGGTATGTGACAGTCACCACCTCCAGCCAAGACAGGGTACAAATTGGCTTCCTGTTTCTGCTGAGAGTAACCCTGTTGGAGTCTGGAGGCACCGCCTCTTGATCCTTCTTCCCGAGTTCTTCCTCTTTTCTGATATCTGAAAAGAAAAAAAAAAAATTAAAAAGGGGAGTTACTCTGAAGAACCAGGTTCTTAAGGGGTGGGGGTAGGGGCAGGTGAACGGGGTTTTGAGGACTACTCCAGGACAATCAAGTACCCATGATGATGGGGTTCCAGGGTAGCTCAGGGGTGTTTGTTCAAGGCAGAGGAACCAAGGAAGTCAGCCCATCAGCTGCCCTCTGTAACAACTTGGTGGCCAGGGCACAGAACAATAGGTACATAATACAGATCAGCTGACTTGAGCTCGATGTGTGTCACCTGGGCTACCCTTGGTGGCAAAGCTGAGCTTTGCCATCCCCAGAGTCGAGTCCTGGTATGGTTCCCAGAGCCAGGCATGGGTCCTTCAGTTCCTCATAGGAGAAGAAAGCCCAGCCCAACTCTGATGGCATGTCACTTGTGGGTTTTTTTTTTTCTTTCTTTCTTTTTTTCCTTTCTTTCTGCAACCTCATATCTGTCTTCCGGCCACTGGCTGAGCAGGCAGGGCACGGCTGCCAAGGAAGCCCTCCGACATTATCCACCCTGACAGGTGGCTGCCTTGGCCCGCCCCCCATGCTCTGCTTTCAGTACATCCTGCACACCCACAGGCACCTGCCTTCTTCCTCAGCTCCCCGGTTTCAGTTATGTGCTGGGTGTAGGTGCGTGTCCACTGAAGAGTGGGTACGGTCTGCATTTCCCAGCCTTGGGCTCAGGACCCTGGAACCGGGCTCTAGCATAAACCAGCAGGTATTTGGGGTGGAATTTTACTCTTCCYAGGTAGGAAACCTAGGGAGAGAGTCAGGCACACCCCACACCTCTCCTCCTGTAGTAGACAGCAGCGAGGCTCSGGAGAATGTTCACAGGCTCTGGCTTCTCTTGCCCCTTCCTGGGAACCTGGGCTAAGAGTTCCCCAGGGAGGTCCCTGCCTCCAGTAGCACTCGGAGAGTGTACCTGGAAAGCATCGCCTGCCTGGGTACACAGGGAGCATTTTCTGTCCAGAACACTCCTTATGGTATTGTCTTCTGAGGTCCCAGGCCCTTTGAAAATGCTAAGGACATGAACAGACCCTGCTGTTCTAAGGATGAGCAGGAGGGTCATGAGGATGTCACTGAAGTTAGCCMACTTTCCTTTGATCAGAAAAATCACAAGAAAGAGAATGATCCTGACCCAGACTCACAGACGAGTTGATGATTTCACCTGCTTCTTGACCTGCCCTCAGCACCCCCCCACACACACACACACCTCCCCAGCCCTCGGAGCTAGTCTGCTCTGTGTCACCACTTGGAGCCCCAGCCTCCTGGCCACAACCACCTAAGGCTCCTGCGCATGGGAGTGGCCAGGGGAAGCAGTGAGCAAGAGGCTCAAGAGGAGCAACTGCCACTCTGTGCAAAGCCAGGGCTCCAGGTCCCTGGGATCCTGGCCCCAGCCCCACAGCAGGATTCCAGTCCCCTGGGGAAGCAAACTCCCTTCTCCCCACTGCTGCAAGGAGGCAGCATGGTTGCTCCTAGGCTTCTTTCCTGTCTCTCCCATCGACTCTGCCAACAGCTTTGGCTGCTTCTCTTTTCCCGTTTTTCGCCCCATTTGGCTTTGGTTTTTGTTCTTTAGCTGTGGCTGCTGCTGTTTGGAAACCACGTGTAAAGCTGAAGACTTTTTTTTTGTTTGTTTTTTTCTGTATTTTCTCCCTTCCTTTTTTTTTTTTTTTTTTCCTCCCCTAAAGCCAGAAAGTGAGCAAGGTCGTAGAACTTCCCTAGAAAAGTTCACTCGCAGTGTGGTAAGTGGAGTGGGTTTTCTTCCCTCAGCGTTCTTCTGGTTTTGATTTTGTTTTTTTTTTTTAACTTTTTTTTTTTTTTTGTCTTTTTTGATTGTCGTCGTCTTTGGGGTGGGAGGGACTCCAATGCTTTCCCCTCAATTCACCCCTTTTCTTTCRCGTGAGTGTCTGCAGCTTCTCTTCCAGGGATGGATTTGTGAAAGAGCAGGCAGCTCCCTCTGCAGAAGGTGCACAGCCGACCGCCCAGCCTCAGCCTGGGTGTGTGATTGCTGTTCAGGGCTTTGAGGAGGAAGGGCTCCACTCCTCTTGGGACTGCRCGGTTTGTGCATCTTCTGCAGCAGCCCAGGGAGAAGGCCATTGAACGTTCTGTGAAACAAATTGGCTCAGAACCATCACACATTTAAAAAAAAAAATCCAAATTTCCCTCTGTGAACTCTGACAGTCTCGCTGGTGTGGGTCGCAAGCTGATGTTGCTGTGTAGGTGGCTTTTGCTGTGTGCAGACAGTGGCCATGCTGCATGGGTTCTGGCAATGTGATCTAGCTGGTGTGTGTCTTAGTGGCCTCTGCATGAGTTCCGGTATCCCTTGCAGCCCCCTGTCTACCTCATTTGCATAGCGTGACTAGGAGAGGAGGGCAGTAGCCAAGTCCCTGCATTGTCCCTGGTAGTTTTCCAGGGAAAGGCCCYKKGAAGCTCCCCAGGCCCTGATTCTGACAGTAAGTAAAAACAGGCTAGAGGTTCACTGCCCTGTAGAAAAGTGGCCTTCCCTTATGCATATCCAGCTGAGGTAGAGATCCACACAGCTCCCCAGCAGAGAACCCATGGTAACAGATGAGAAGAGTCGATGAGGGGTCTTGCTGCGTTGTATGGTGGGGATTCTATCCCATGGTCTGTTGAACAGTGCAGACCCATCTCCCCTTTCCATGTTGGGCAAGATTTGAGCACAGGACTTGGTGAACAGGAAGTATTCAATCCTGCTCATTCGCTGACTCATCAAAAACAAGCCACCGAGTTCATGGTACCCAGACTGCACCATTAACATCAAACTAGAAAAAAAAAACAAGATGGCAGTCAGGGAGCAGGGATTCTGCACATGGGACCAGCCACATTTCCCTTCCCAAAGAATGCAAACCCACTGAAGCTAACTTGTCTTGTTTCCCCACCTCTAAGAGGAAAGTCCTTGTAAAACATGACTACTGTATATGATTAGTATCCTTATTTCATCCTTTTAACTCAGATTCTAAGAATCCCAGGTTGAAAGCAACCTAGTCATTTGCCTGTCATAGTTGTATGCCTTTGAACTGCACTTAAACCTGATTTTGAATTCACTCGATATAGACGCACAATAATTCCAGTAGATGGTGATTAAAGTATGGGTGCAGCCTGGCTGCAGTGTCTGGAGCATGCTCAGGGATGTGGTTGACAAGCTGAGCATGTACTGTGGGCACCATGGACTCTCAGGTACCTTGTGAAGAGGAAAAGCAGAACGTTTCTGGACAGGAAAGCCGTGCTCTTCAGGTTGACTGTGTGGGCTGAGGTCAAGAGAGGAGTCCTGGTACTTGGACGAGGTGCACAAACATCTTTAGGCTACTTTTCCTGAGAAGTGGGTACCAGAAAAGGCAAGAATGGCCTCCGTGAAGTCCTATGAGGAGCGTTTATTGATGTTCCTTCAGCCCAGAAGTAGTGTTGGCTCGGTGGTTCTCCAAGGTCTGTTAACAAAGCAGAACGAGAAAGCACCAACCACCCTCCAAGAGTCTGAGAAGCACAGAAGTTGTCAGGGTGGGCTGGAGAAGAAAAATACCCTAAGCTCCTGAGATTCAGGGCATTTATGTGATAAAAGGCCCAAACTTCTAAAAATATAGTCCTTAATTCCCTGATTGTCTTTTATGAACAGGAGACCATAATGAGTGGTGTATTCATATTTTGGGGTTCTAGTGGTGGAGAGGGACTTCCGTGTTCTTGGGGTAACACCGCAACCCCACAGACACAGCTAAGTATGGGGATGTGGCCCATGGCTGTAGGACATTGTCATCTCTCACACAACTCAAGGCTGGAACCTAAGAATTTGATCTCAACTGCCCCAGTGTTCTAATCCAATATAACCAACCAACTAGGTGCCTGGCAATTTGATAGGCATTCTCTGAATATGCTATATATAATGTGTTCAATTTCTCTAAAAGACAATTTGCACAAATGTTTCTTCTGCAAGCTGTCAAACTAAATGAAGGGCTAGCTAATGCCATTCCCATGTTGCCAGGAAAAATGTTTAAGAAGACCATCTACATCGTAGGGCTAATAATTGGACAGAGGCAGAGTGAAGCTAGGTAGCTCACAGGTCAAGGAACGAGGCTGACTCATTTAGGACTAATTAATGGTGGTGTGGGGGGGAAGGTGTTGATCCAGGTGGTTAGAGAGCTCAGTTAGTCAGTCAAGACTGAATCTGGATCTATGACYCCCCCACCCCCGAACACGCCAATACCCCTTCTTTTCTTGGTAAAAGAGAAAAACTGAAAGAACAAATTGTCCTTTCCAAGTCTCAAAGTGTACCATGTCATGGAGGGTTCATCTGTGGATGTGTCCCTGTTATATGAGATCCTAAGAAGTAGTCTGAGTGTTTCATTGAAACTTTGAGGGCTATGCTACTTTGGATGCAGAAGGGGTCTGGCCCTCCCCAGTAGAGACAGTGCTATGGGAGTGTCTCTTTCCCATAGAAATTTCATTCTAAGTCATCCAGGACTTGAATATGCCAAGAAAATGTCTGAGAACCCTGTGCCAAAATTTGCGTCATCTGGCAGACTAGAACCATAGAGCCTGCTTAAAACCCTGCTTTTTTTTTTTGATGGTGAAGGCCCAGGTTCAGAATCAAATGACTGAAAGTCCATGGCAAAGCGTAACTAGCTCATAGTATGCTTTTATTGAAACAGGAAACAGAACTCCAACCCCATTGGTACCTAGCYGGCCAAGCAAAACACAGGCTGGGTTTCAGCCCCTACTTGACCTTCAGCTGTCCTTGTACAGGAATTACACACACCACTGTACATGGTGGCCCTTGTCATATTTCAGAAAGAGCTGTAACACATAGTAACTGCTCCAGGTAGCACCCAGACATAGCCTCAGGCCAACTGAACCTCTTTGGAGAAAACCTAGTATAGGAGAACTGACCACCAAAGACAGAAGGTGTCAGAAGATCAAAGAAAGAGGTGGATAAATCTAGGATCGTACAGAGTGCAATTTATTAGGTATTTATGAACAGTGGCTTGGGTGACCCACATCCCACACCCAAGGGCAGGAGAAAAGGGTTTATATACTAAGCTAGACAATGGTGGCTTTGATCCACTGGAATGTACCTGGGCTTTCTCAAAAACTATTAACATGTCAAATATCAGTTAAGAAACAGTCCAAACGTCACTGGCCAGCACAAAATGCTTGGCTGACTATCTTAACAACTTTGTTTATCCTGTAGGGATTAGAATGTGTGTTAGAGTTTACCAGGCATGCATGCAAGATGGTGGTCACAACCAAGATGGCTACAGTCAGGTTGAGCTGGATCTCTTCATTAACCAGAGCCTRTCCCTCCTTTATCCTGCTTACTAGGAAGTTTCCTTTTCCAGTGCTATGAAATATGAAAACCCCAGCAGTAAACACCTGGTGAGCCTTTTGTCTTGTCTTCAGGTTCTTCGGTAGGCATTACCGACTGGACAGGGTGTACTTTTCAAATGAAGGCCCAGTCCCTGCTGCTCGGTCAGTACCAACCAGCCTGCCAGTCTTTGCCGTCTTCCTGGTTTGTGGTTGACAGATGACATTGGGGACATGGAAAACCAGAACTGAAAAGCTTCTAGAGTCTACAGGGTCAACCACAGGCTATATGCTGGGGCCTCCCCAGGGCCTAACTCTGGAGACAGGACCAGGGGAAATGCTTGGGAGGAGGGCAAGAGGAAGCAAAGGGCCCTTTGCCAAGCCACAGTAGCAGCAATGTGATATTCCCTTCTTGGATGGCTGATGCCATCTGGGGAGGACTCCCAGCTGGGGAGGAAAAGCTAGATAAAGTCCTCTGTCCCTTGGGCACCGTCCCATGGAAGAAGCTAGAGTGTGATGGCAGTTAAGTTAGGAGAAATGGCATCAGCCTCCCTGGGCACCTGTGCTCCCTTGCATCCCCAGCTGCCCTGTTGAGAGGCATCAGCTCTAGCCCGGGGATGCAAAGGTGGGAAACAGAATTGCTGGTGCCTGAGCACATACTGTGGGCCATGGAGAAGAGAGGAGATGAGAACCAGGTGTTTGTCCACCTCCTGGCAGAACATGGAGGTTCATCTTTGCCAAGATGCTCCTTGGAAGTGCAGCAGCCAGGGCCCGAAACTAAGGCAGCTTCCGCATGTGACCAGTGGCATCTCTGTCCTGCCTGCCAAGGGAGCGGCAGGAAAATCAGATGGGGACAGGAAGCTCTGAGCGCCAGCTGCTTCTCCCCCCTCTCTCCCCTCCCCCCCAGCCTAAAGCCAAGGGACAGGTACTGAGAGCCCAGGGTCAAGAGCTCACCTACCCACCCCAGGCAGCTCTGCAGGAAGAGACTTCCAGCTCCAGGCTGGGTGTTGACCAGAAGCAGAAGTCTGGGGTGCCTGGCAGGGGAGGGAGGGGGCAGGCAACAGGGCCATGAACCCAGCTGTGGCTCCTTCCCCAGGAGTTGTTTTCCCCTCTTCCTCAGGATGTCGTGGGGAACGGCCAGAAAGCCCTGGCAGAATGTTTTCAAATACCTAGATGCAGCGGAGCCCCTGGAGGCTTTGACCTCAGTTGAAAAAAATCTTTTTCAGCAGCAAGGGAAAAATGGCTGAAAATTTTTACACAGGGTTGATTTTGATGCCAAATAACCCCTTTGGGATCGGAGATATTAATGCCAACCTCTCTCAGCTGCAGTGAAGCCCTAGTCCTGGCTAGAGATGGAGGTGGACCTCCGTGGTAAAATTCAGGAAGCAGCCCCCAGGCAGCGCGTCTGCTGGCTAACTGGGTAGCCTCA